CGCGGCGCCGCGGGTCCTCGTTAGCGGGAGTCGGGGAGCCAGCCGCTGGGCAGCCGGCGGGGCCGGGCCCGGAGCGAAGATGGAGGCCCCGCTGCGGCCCGCCGCGGACATCCTGCGCCGGAACCCGCAGCAGGACTACGAGCTCGTCCAGAGGGTCGGCAGCGGCACCTACGGGGACGTCTACAAGGTGAGGCCGGCCCCCAACGAGCCTTTCCCCCCTCCGGCCGGCCGGCTGCCGGAGTAGGGCCACTTGGAGGCCAAGTTTGGGAAGAGCGGAAGATGCCTCATTGTGGCATCTTGGAGATGGAGCCGCCGGCTCGTCTTCACGCGAGTGCAGACCGCCCTCGGTCCATGGCTTGCTCTCGCCGCTACCAGCCAGCAGATCCAGCCACACTTTGCAAAACCACCGTCTCTGTGTGTGTGTGTGTGTGTACGTGTGTTCAAGCTTCTGGACGGTATTGAGGAGACTTCCGATCTACTTAAGGAGTTGCCCTTAGAGATATTTTGTTGTAAGCATAGAAAAACGCTTCACGGAAGACAGCAGACTGGAAAGAGTGTTGACATTCAGACGTATGGGTTAGAAAACGAACAACTTGTTTTAAATGGGTGACTTTGACCGAAAAAGACATTGGAAATCTATGCCTAAATGTTTACGCGAAGGAAATTAACACTAGGTCAAAAGGACGTGTGTAAAAAACAAAATCCTCTGTAGGAAGAGGCTTTTCCTAGCAGAGGTTTCATCTGGTCTCATTGTGTCTGAGTGACGATTAAAAGATGACATAAACGTTCGTGTTTTTTTTTTTTGTAACATCTCAAATAAGAGTGTCCTTTTTAAAATACTCTTGAGCAATTTGAGACAAATTATTAGGATATGTTACTCTTAATTTAGGATTTTAAAAAATCAGGTGGAGACAAACCCAATTCCTATAAACCACGGAGGTCTTAAAGAGCCCATTGGAAGGCGATTTGAGGTTTCATTTATGTTCGATGTGCTCTCTTTCCAAATGGGTGCTGTGATGCAACTCGAATGAGTATTAAGGGAAATTGACTTTGAATTTTGCAACCACTTTGTTTATTGAATTTAATGATGATACAACTTAAATGACCCTGTTGTAAGGGAGTAATTAACCAGTAGATGCTGTTTTGGCACAGGTGGTAATATGGAAGGAAACCATCCCTTCTTCTTACTTAACTGCTTTTGTTTAGTTTGATCTGTTACTAATACAAGCCCACTATGGTGTATTATGCCACCGTTAGCCCTTTGATTCTACTTAGATGACCTGTAATGGAAAGTGGGATTTTTTTACTGGTTAAACAGGTTTTTTAGTCTTCTATAACCACTCTTCTAGGTATTAGGGCATTATATTATGAGCAAGGTTCTGGCAAAGTGGATAATCACGGAATCCTCTTTATGTAGTATTAAAAGTAAACACTTAATTGTTTATCCACGCATTACCCATTTTGGAGAATGACTTTCTTTCAAACAATGACATTTTCGATGATCCTTCTCAGTTCCACTCTAGTCATCATTGTACTATGACTTAACCTATGTCAGTTCAGCTCATCATGCCAATAATGGTGAAAATCCCCATTCTTGTGTTTTCTTATCTTTCTACTGTAAGAAAAATGCAAAGGAATGTTTGCCTCGCAAAGAATCCAATACTTCCACCTTCTTTCTGTATTGATATGCTATGGAAAACAACTCATTGAAACCAGATTTTATTCTTGCTTGGGAAAGCAAACAGTTATATTAAATGGCCAGGCAGTCCCTGCCTTTTCCCTGGCGGTTCCTTCCTGTATCACTTGTCCAGCCTCCAGACAGTAGATAGAAGAATGAGCATTTACCACTCTCCACCCTACCTCCACACCCGGCCCCCTACCCTCACACTCCTGCTCCCTCACCCTTGCATATAGAAATGCTTTCCATGCTAGGCCAGCTCTCACTTCTTAAACATCCTTAAGACACGTGTGGTGCCTTTCTCATGTTTCTTTGTTCTAATTACCTAGAAACACCTAATTCCATTTCCACCTGGTGCTATCCTGTTTGTCCCTGAAAGCCCAGCTCCTTCCTCTTAACCTTGCGGACCTCATTTCCTCTTAGTCTCCTCCCTCCCTTATTCTTGTCTAGGCTCACCTCACTGTTCCTCACAGTAAGAAGCATCCTAAAACCTTTGGGCCTTTGTTCTTGCTGTTGCCTCTGTCCAGTATGTCTTTACCAAGACCCCTTCCTTTTACACACTGCCCAGCTTCCTTTCCTACTTTATTATTTGCTCTCATCACCATCTAAAGTGATACTTTAGTTTTTCTCTTTTTTATTTATTGTCTAGCTCGATTCTTTATAATTCTCCACAAGGGCCAGGATTTTCAGGTTTTGTGTGTTTCTGTCTATAATAGTGCATAAAGTTATGCTTAGCCCAGCTAAGTACTTGGGGTTTGTACAATTCTTATCGCAATCCAGACGTACATCCATTGTGTCAAGCACATTTCTGCATTTGTTGCCATCATCATTCTCAAAACATTTGTCTTCTACTTGAGCCCTTGATATCGGCTCCTCATTTTCCCCCCTCCCTCCACACCCCCTCCCTCCTTCATGAACCCTTCATAATTCATAAATTATTATTTTGCCATATGTTACACTGTGCAGATCTGTTTTTGCTGATTGGAATTCTGTGGGGGAAAAATCTTCTGGGAAGTTACTTTATAGCATTTCAAATTTCAGTCATCCTACACAATTTTGTCAGTTTATATTTACTCCTTAATATGCCTAAAAAAGAGTGACATTGAAATTGTAGTCCTTGAGTTTTTTCTAGAGTGATCAGAATCATTTTGCTATTTATAGCTGTGTTTTTGATGAGCTGAAAATCCATGGATGTCTTAGAAGTATTTTCAATTGGTGACAGAAACTAGTAAAATCACAGCGAGCGAAAAATAATGCAAGTGAATCAGAGAGATCTTGTCAAACATCAATGTAGAAGGTCCCAGTGCAATCCTTTGGATTCATGATTTTATCTTAAAAGTAACACTTATTATATTAAATAATTCAAACAAGTAAGTGCAAAATGAAGACTAAGAGCCCCCTACTATCATCTTCCTTTCTTATCCCCTGTGATAACCAATGCTGGTTATCTAGATGTCACTCCAGAAACACTCTTTCAGTGCTCAAACATACACATCGTTTGAAATCGACTTGGTAAGACTGTATTGTATTCTTTTACTGGGTCTTCTCCATTTTGCAGTCAATATTCTAGCCAGATGTATCCCCCTACTTGTTTACCCCTAGGGCATCTTATAAAGCAGGGCTCTCCAATGGACTACAACTTTGAGATTATATATTATTTTACGTTCTCTGAAAGGACAGATCCTTTCTAAAGCGTCTTTGTTTCCTGAGAAACCCCAAGAGGGGAGAAAGCTCAACCTTTAACTAGCTGTTCCCTGATTGAAAGAAGAGGGGGCTATGATGGTTCTTTTAGTTGAATGGGGCAAGGTAGGGAGGTTGAGAGCAGGCCATGGTGAAGGGGGCAGAAACCCAAAAGAGAACACGAATGTGGCGGGAAATGGATGAAGAATGGAAGTTCAATTTGGCAGATTGTATTCGTAATTACTGCAGATTTTAAAATCTGCCAACAGGAAGGGGAAGTCTGGAGTTAGTACCTCTGTTAACAACACAGAGGGAGAGACTTTTCACTGGATTCTAAAAGAATGTAGGATGGCTTCCAGGTGAAAAAGATGGGGGGAAGATATTCCAGATGATGGGAATAATATGTGCAAACACATGGAGGCAGAAACAGTGATGAGCTTGAGAAATCTGCATTTGCAGTCTAGGTTTGGTATGACCAAGCTTGGGAGAGATGCTATAGATAGAGAACACTGGCTATTTTCTGGCAGGAAAAGTCCAGATAATGGAGCTTGTAGGTTAGGTCAAAGAATTTTTACTGTTTCCTACTGCTGAAGAAACACTTTAGCAGAGACTCTGGTGCTTTAGAGGATAGATTGATCAAAGTGGCTGGAAGTCTAGAGACCAATTATGAGTAATCCACATGAGAATTTATGCAAGCCTAGATTTAGGCATGGTACAGGACATGAAAGGATGAATTTGAGGAATTTATATCTCTAGGAAATGATCAAAATACTTGGCACTGATAGGTAAAACAAGTAACTAATGGCAATTGTAATTTTTGGCTAGGGACACTATATTAAGGCCACCGATAGAGTTAGGAAACACTGAATTTATGAGTCTTGGATTTTGTGCTTGATTTTGGACATAGGGAGTTTGCAAACATGTAAAAAAAATGCAACGCGGGTGTTGAGAGTTCTGGGCAGTGGATACAGGTTTAGGAGTAGTCATTATTTTATGGAGTGGTAACTCCAAAGTATATGTGAGGTCACCTAGGGAGAGATGGTAGGAGAATTGAGGAAAGACTACAGTCTCAGGAGGCTGGCATAACAAAATAATGTATTAATGGTATCTAAAAAGTATAAGGAAGTTCTTTTCATAAAAAGCAAGAATTCCAAGAGTTAGCTTTCATCCCCCGCCTCCGTTCCTCTTTCCTTATGTTTTGCAGTGAGGGTGGATTGATCTGTCCTTCCTTCATTAGTTCCCTTGTTTTTCAGATAAAGTCTTTAGAATAACTTGACTTAAGGCCCTGCCTTTCCTGACACTTGTCCCACTGAGCTCACTTCATTTCCTCATGCACTCTACTTTCTGTCTTTCAAGTTTGGGCAGGTACTGTTTCCTTTTCCTGGAATACTCTTTTTCTTTTTCTCCTCTATTTGTCTATCTTCTCTTCTTTCAGCATCCATTTTCCACTGAGTTTCACTGAATATACTCATTTCATTGAATATCCTATTCTTTTAAAAATTATATATTGTGAAATATTTATTTCTAATGACAAATCAATGAAATTTTGTCTTGAAGCATGATGTAGCATGGGTAACAGTCTTCATGCCAGGTACTCGTATGTGGGCAGACCCGCCTGGAGATGAGAGAGTAGTGTCTTGGTTTCTAAGACCATTGGAAATATGTGTTTTCCGATAGTCTTAGGCGACCCCTGTGAGAGGGTCGGGACCCACAGGTTGAGAACTGCTGCTTTAGAACCGTAGGCTGTGGTAGGCAGTGATTTTATATTCCTGTTCTTCTGGAGGGAAAAAATCTGGAGTCATAAAAACACGGATCCAGTCTTTACCACA